ATATTTTTTGTGCTATCTAACAGGTTTTCTATTTTAATGAGGAAAGAGTAGCCTTCAAAATGGTTGAAATCTCTCCAGTAGTTTTAGTGCATGGGACACACAATATGAAATAAGGAGAAATCAAGTGCTCCTTCAGGAAATAATATTTGAGATAATTTTAATGTAGGAGGATAGAGTTAGGCACGTAGCCCTGTGTAATGCTAACCCAAAAAACTGCAACCTGCTGATTCCTGCAGTGGTCCAGTCAGAAACTCAAAATGATCTTGAGGGTTGACGTCCTGCTGTTGCGTTCCCAGCTGGCTATAGTTGGGAATGGAAGCTCTTGCTTTTCAGCCCAATGCTCTTCTCACACATTCTGCAAAAACACTGAGCTGCTGAAGAACTTGCAGAGAGCAGGTGGTAACAAAATTTGTGTAATGGTCTTTGTTCCACAGCCATCAGTTAGTTGTCTTTCACAAAAGCTGACACCAGCAATGTCAAGATCTTTCCAGGTTTATGTTACCTTCAGTCATCCCCTTTCATTAAGCAGTGCTTCGTAGTCAGGCTGAAGATGTAGGTGATGGTTACCTCCTATTTAATCATGGAGGAAATAAGTGATTCTCCTAAAACTCATTAATCTCCATAAGAAAGGAATGTTTTTCCAAGTTGCTTTAGCTATTCTTGTCTACTCCCCTCTAAGCCCACAGTAAAATTTAAATGCCAGAATTAAGATGTCTGGAGAAAGGTTAGAAAAATGTACTGGCTGACAAAGCTATTGGTCAATACAAAGTGAGCAGTAAAGATCATTGTTCAAGCTTATGGACTTTTGCTTTGAATATGTTTCTTTACAAGAAGTGTTGGAAGAATTTTTGATTTCTTCAAGGGATCAGTAAGACCCAGAGTTCAGCAACTGTGAAAGCTGTATTTTATTTCTTCAAGAAGAAAGAAAGTCTGCTTAATTTTCTTTGAGTGTCTTTGTACTGGAAAAGTGAGAAAAACACTGCTTGTCACATCAGTGGTGCAGGACTGGCCTGTAGCCATGTTAAGACATGGTTTTGGTTTTCTCTATAAAAAAAAACAAAACAAAAAAACCACACAAACCAAAACAAACAAACAAAACCCCCAAGAAAACCCAAATCACAAAAAAACAAACCAAACCAACAAAAAAAAAAAAACCACAAAAAACCCAAACCAAAACCAAAAAACCAAAACAAAGTGAATAAAGCTGTCCCCATGAAAACTGCACAGAGTCAGCTGGGGGACTTGTTGTTCTCAGAGGACCACATTCTGGGCTGGATTTCATTTCCAGTAACTTTGATCTGCTGCTGATATACTGCTTCTTGCAATATGCATGCACCAGCCATCTTGCCATGTTCACTTGTAGCCCACTACTGCCTCTTAGTCTCTCTGATAACAGTCGTGTTTTAAAATCCTTGCAGTTCTTGCCGTTGGGGAATACAGTCAAATATTTCAAGCCATTATTAATCATCTGGTGAGATACTGGATAAAACGCATTGCTGTATTTTCATTTTGTGAACCTTTTTACAAAAGATTGGAAGCCAGGTCTCTTCTGCTGAATCAGTTTTTAGGTTACACAGGCTGTGCTGAGGATACATCATATTCTCACTTTCCAAGTAAGTTAATTTTCCAACTTAAACTAGTAGGTTTTTTTTCCTATAAATCTTCTCAATGGTAAGAAAACAGTTACATATCTTGAATTTTATCATAGTTCCATTAAATTATCTTTTACTGATATCACAGATGTGATGGCATCAGCCTCAAAATATAGGCAATATCATGATAAACGGATCAGGGCGGGGGGGGGGGGTGAAGTCCATTGTTTGTTTTATGTTACAAGGCAGGTTGTATAAAGGTACAAAATTGCAATTTGTAGATTGGTGAAGTTAGTTACATCTTCTGGGAGAAAACATGATGCCATAGTAAAATCTGCAGGCTTTCCTGTGTGCTTGCTGGTGTCCACATAGTTCTAAACACGTAAATGTGGGGGTGTGTATGTGGTGTAAAATTCAGTAATTGAGAGGAAAATACCATTTCTAGAAAGGAGAGATTGGAAAATGACTGCATTAATTATCAATTTTCTCTGCTTTGCAAAAGCTCTTTTAAAATTTATTTACAGTAAATATTCCTCCATTTTCATTCTTTTCTTTTTGCCTTCCAGTATCCAAAAAATGTTGGTAAGCACTTATTCAGTATTCACCTTGGATACAACAAGCTACTAAGAAGTTCACCAATATCGAATGTTTTAGCATTAGAATAGCACAGATCCACTGAAATTATAGACAATTTATGCAAAGGAAAAGTGCATAATCATGATTTTTCATTGAGTTATCATTAGCAGCCATCACAGCCTGAACAATTTAAAACCAGTTTCTATTTCAATGTAAAATGAAAGAGTTGGCTGTTGCTCAAATATCCTATTGTTTTCTAGGCTATATACAATCCTCAAAGTTCATTGTATTCTTGGGATCTGGCTTGAAAAATAGCTGATGTAAATCACCGTCTAAATTATTTACCTAAGTTATTTATGGGCCTGCCTTCACCGGTAGGAAGTGTTACCTCCTCTCCCTATTTCAAAATTCAGTTATATTTAATCCTGCTGTTCCAAGAATGAAGTATCCTAGCATGCGTTGACATGTATAAATGCTTGTTCCCAACCGAAGTGTTAGATAGGAGAGCTCCATTAGCAGTCCCTGAAAGAAAGGCTTTCCAAGTAAAGAAATACACAGAAGATGGAAGGACTAATCTCTTAGTTTCTGTTGTGAGGGGGTTCGGCAGTCAGTGTCATGTGGACAGCAAACAGAACGGCTGATGGAGGATCATGCAGCCATTCTCCTCTTAAACTGGGTATGCTCTCACCTGAGGTGTTGGCTCCACAAGATCTATTACCAGAATAAAAAGTAAGTAACAATTCCTGTTGGGTTTCCTTCACTGCTGTGCAGTTACTAACAGGAAAAGAGGAGCTACCTCTGAGTTTTAACACAGCATATGTTTGTGTGTACAGGGATTTTCATCCCAAATCAGCCTCAGGGTCTGCAGGTCTGTAAATCAGTATCTCATGTAACTTTCTTCCCCTAGTTTTCTCAACATTTGAGAGGACAGGAAGTGTAATCCTTCAAAGGATTTAAAGTATAAATCTTTTACACTGTCTCTATTTCCCAGTGTTTTGCATAACTGTATCTGTGGGAATGCACAATCTAATCTGTTGGCTGACCCAAGGGAATATTGTTTAGGTAGTTACATTAGTTTGTATTTCCTATTAACATCATTTTTTGTTCATATCCTTGTTTGTCTCTTTGAACTATGCTCTGTTGTTCTTTCTCCATTCAAATGTGCAGAGTTCAAGAGCCAATTTCTAGGAGCTTCCAGAAGTACCATTTAGTAGAAATCTGCTGCAGTTTTACAAAATGAAAATATGCAAGTTCAAGTAGGCCTGTGGCGAGTGTGAAATAAAGATCGATAGTACAATTTTCTACTGTGATACCTCTATTAAAAAGTTTTTTTTTGAGTAATGCTTCATAGTGAAGTTGCTTCTATTTAAAGCATTGAGTTTGATCTTGGCTTTGATCTGAAGCTTTTGATCTTGAAAAAAAGCATGTTGTGGCAGTAAAACAAAAAGGGTAGGAGAGAGGGTTTTTTTGGTGTGGGTTTGTTTTTTTTCAGTGATAAAGGGATACTGTCAAGATACGGTACACACTAATTGGACCTGTGTTTGCTTAAATCTGTTTGCAAAGTCCATCTAATTCTATATATAGGAGGGTTCTCTCAAATATGTGCTTTAATGAGCCTTATTCTTTTACAAGAGCATAGATTTTCTTTTGATGCTGTCCGGAAATTGTCATATATAATATAGCAAACAGTATATTATTTTTTAAATACTAAAAATACCTTTCTATCATAATTTTAACTGTATTGAGTATGATGCAGTCTATCCTTTATTGTCTTGTCATTTTAAATGCTAAACACAGATCACTAAATAAAATCCCAAATTAGGAATTTATAGTATTCAAATTTTGCATAGCTGACATTACTTCCGTGTCTTCCATCATAGCAGGGCTTGTATATCCTCTTCAAAGACCACAGAAACATCTTGAAATCACACGCCTAAATTAAATCATCTGCTTGCAGTCTCTCGTTGAATAAAGCATTTAACTGGACCCGCAATTAGGGGCTTGCTGTGCTGTCACATGATTAATGAGCTGGTCTGGTTCTTGCTTTTAAGGCACATTTCAGGCCCTCCAAGGTAAGTTAACAGTTGGATTCTTCAGGTGCCAAGCAAGTACTGGGGGTGAGCTGAAGCACTTCATGTTGGTGGTGTTTCCTCTCTTGAGCCAGCCCCATTAGCTCGTTACTCTGTGAACAGCTGGGACAGCGGGCGGTTGTGGGAAGGTTAACAGGAAAGGCGTTTGTCACAATGAGGGACTTGACGAGAGAGCGTCTCTCTGAAAGCTAGACCGTAACGCCGCTCACGCGGATGTTAGGAAGACCCGGCGCGGCGGCCAGGCGGTACGCACCGCCGCCGCGTGCTCGGCGGGCCTCGGTACCCGCAGCGCCGCGGGGCGGAGAGCCGGGCCCCGCCTGCCGCCGGCGAGGTACCACTGGCGGTATTTCTCGCTGGGCCGGGGGAGGCGCGGCAAGCCCCGGCGGGGCCGCCCCGGAGCCGCTGGTCCGTACGCCTTCGGAGCGCTCCTCCTCTCCGCACAGACACGGGGGCCGGAGCTCGGGGGCGGGGAACCCCGCGGAGGTGTTTCATTTCCGACCGAGGGCTGCGGTGTGCCGCCACTGAGGACGGCGACGGCAGCACGGGACAGGGCGGGCCGGGCGCGGCTCTCGGCTCTGTGACGCTGGGTGTGGGCCGGGGGCCGGTGTCGGGCGGGCCGGGATTGCTGCAGCGCGTACCGTCTCGGTCTGTGCCGTCCGCCCCGCGGCCTCGGGGAGCGGAGCGTAAGCGGGGATACTCCGCTTGCAAGCCCGCCTTAGCGTGCGCTTTCTCCCCCATGTAGCCTTTGCTGGAGGAGGGCGAGACGTGGAAGGAGAGTCGGCTCGTCCAGCAAGTGAGCGGCGAGGTGAGGAGAAAATCTTCAGCAACTCTTACGTTGCCCCCGCTTCGTTCCTTTGCCAGTCTGCTCCCGAGGTTTTTCACCTGACGCCCCTCGCCACCCCCGCCATGCTTTAAAACATAGTTGCTTTCATATGGGAAAAACATTTGTATGGGAGAAAAAAAACTGAAGAGTTACTTCTTTATTAAATAATAACAACCCCATCGTCTAAACTTGGCGTTGGTAGCCTGGAAAAACTTTGGACTGGGTGGCTGGAAATAAACCTCTTACTTGAAATAGAAGGTGTATGGGATGAAGCACAGATTTTCCCCAGGATTTTTGCGCACCGCAGTGGTAACTTCCTGTCCGGGCTTCCATTTGGCAGCCCGGTCTGTCCTCAAGCATGTTCTTGTGCCCAGAACTTTTAAACTGAAAGCTTGGAGGTGAGCACCGTCTCACACTTTGACCATGCACAAGTAACTAACCAGATCACCTAAGACCATGTCATTCTAGATGGGCAGAAGTGCTGTTCGTCTTTGTAGTGAAGCAATGGAAAAAAATTGTCTGGAGTCTGTTTATAGCTTCTTACTAATGAATAGCTGAGCTTGGGTCACATCTTCATGCTAAAAAAGTGCTATGGTTTTAATCCAGGTCACAAAATGGATTCGGACAAACCAGATGATGAGAAAAAGTGGCAAAAAGAGAAGAAGGCTGGATGAAGTTGTTTTCCAAAAGGTAAGGGTTCCCAGTGTACGTTTGTATAATGAGACGAAGGGTGGCAGATCCAAAATGCTTTCCCATGACACCTTCTTAAACTTTTATAGAGGTGTTTTCTAGCGTCTTCAGCAAGGTGACAGTGAAAAGGCATTACTAGTAAAAGTTTGAGTGTCACTAAGTAATTACAATGGAAACAATAATTTTTTCAGGCATCTGTAATTTAGAAGACAACTTCCTCAGAATGTTCCAGTTTTTAACTGGATGTTAATGTTTTTAACTGTAACATTCTGAGGGAGAAAGAGAAGAGTGCTTTCATCACAGAAATTAATAGAACTTGAGAGCTTTTGACAGGACCTACTACTATTTGCATATGTTCAGTTACTAGTAGCTGACAATTTTCATTGTGGATATTGGTACAATAATAGATGTAATCTGTACATTGAAACAAATAGTTCTAACTATGCTGTTGTCACATAATTCAGAGGGTGAGTTTGGAAATAATCTATTTGCAATGTAGATTTCTATTAATGAAAATGTGCCTAGATGGTTATTTTATAATTACTACAGAAGATTTTTTAAAACTGAATGCAGCCTAAATTAAACTATCTTTAACCCAGAGATTTTTTTATTAGCTGTTGTGATACATTTGTTCTGTACAGTTGAGTTGACCATTTAAATCAGTGTAGAGAGAGGTAAGTGACTAGCCAACACTTTTCTGAATAGCTGTTTTCTTTTACAAACAGATTTAGAATTATTTTTTTTAAACCTGTTACCTTTAAAGGATTAAAATGGCAGTGTGTTGTTTCACTGTTTCGACAGTGCTTCTAGAATGCATGATGAATCATTGCTGTTTCTGTAGCCAAATTCTTGCTGATAGCATGGCTGCCAACTCCTGAATGTGTTGCCTTAGTATGGGCATTGCAGTATATGACAAATGTCTGTGAAGTGCATTGTTGTGTGGGCATTTATGAGCTCCATGGTGAGTTAAAAAACCACCAAATAGCATCCTGTAATTCACTACTACTTTTACTTTGTAACTGGAATACATTGTTTAGGGAAGATGTTCTGTGGTGCTGTGCTAATGGCATGATCTAAACAGAGACAGCATAAACTATTGCACTAAGTAATTCCATTTCTCTTTATATTTTGGTATGTGAATGTTTGTGTGCATGTGTGTGTAGCATTTGTGTTTACAATCTTTTTAAGATGAAGAATTTTAAAGTTAAAAAAGTATCACTGTGTGAATTTGAGAGCAAAATGCATTCAGAGTACATACAGCCCTACTACAAGCTACAGTCTGCACGTTTTTATGTAATTTTTAAAGGTGCAAAGTAGGTTCCCTGCTATGTCTTCTTTAAAGTAGTCTTAAAGGTACCTTATACTGTTATACCTGTTCTCATCCCTTTCTATTGGAGAAGGCTTCCTTAGTGCAAAACCCCTTTGTACCAATAAAATACCATTGCTGGGGGGGGGGGGTGGGGTGGGGTGGGAAGTTGTTCTACTTTACTGTTAGAAATGTGAGACCTAAGGTATAGTCATTTTTTTTTTAAACAGTAATTCTTGAGTAAGGTCTGTGAGCAGAAATGTGAATTAAAATTGAAGGCAAGAACACAGAGTCTTCTGTTATCTATAAGTATTAATAATTCTTGGAAATTGAGTGCAGATTCGCAGCACTGCATTGTCAGGGTACTTAACCCCATGGAAACGAAAAGGCGTAATGATATGTTTTGTAGTGGAACCACTGGCAAGGCACCAAGGGTGGGATTCCTCATCTGCTGTAGAGTGCGGTCTTTGCAACGGTGACTTCTCCAATACAGTTGAGAGAAGAGAAAAAAGACAAGGGAACTCCCTGGTGCTGGCAGATCTTTATTGTATTGTTTTGTTTGGAGTTGATTACAAGTAGGTTTCCAGCATGGCACCAGTCAGTGTGGATAGTGCGAACCTTTCTTCCACTAGAATTCTTGATTTTTCAGTCGTGTCTGTATTGGCTTGTAGCAGAAATGACATCATAAAGCCGTGGAAGTGCTTTGGAGGTAAACAAGACAACAAGAAAGAAAAAGGCACGTAATGGAAAGTAGGGTGCCCTTGAAAAAATTAGCAGAGGTAGGAATAAAACCATGGAGTGAGAAGAGGGAGGCGAGAAGCAGAGCAAGAAGTAAACAGAGGAGTCAGTGCTGGTACCAGCTTACATCAGAAGTATGATTAAAATAAGGATTCTGATGTATTTTGCTACACGTAGAAAACTGAAATTCACATTGATCCTGCTTATCCTTTCAAAACAAGCACTAACTTACTAAATGTAGCTTCTAAACTTTCATGTGCCTCTGCTGTCCAATTTTCCTCTATCACTTTTCTTCCTTTGTCGTAGGAAGTCCTTTTTCTAATACAAGATGGATGGCTTTGCTATACTGAGACACCGCCAAATCAAAGCAAGTGCTTCTGTGTCCAAGTATAAAATTTAGGACAGATAACTCCGTGGAATAAGTGAAATGGAATCGTGTAGGAAATGTTGCTGACAATTACTGGGGAATTACTTACTGAAAAAAGTTGCCTTCTAAACAGTTAAGTGTGTAGGAGCCGACTTTACATACACGTGTATTTAAAGAACATTTGAAGATAGTGTGTGATGGATAAGAACTGTGTAACTGCTAGTGTTAACTGCATATGTAAACACATAAAAAACGTATAAACTAGCGGGGAAGCTCATGTAGAAAGTTGTGGTGCTGCTCTCCTGTGTGGATCCACACACAGTGGATTGCAGCCGTGTTAACAAATTCCATGGGTGAGAGAGACTTTCTAGTCTAAGGGCCCTTGTTCTTTTGCTCCTCTTCTCTCTGACTTTTTTTGAGGTTTTTTTTTTTTCCCTTTCAACCTTTTAACTGCTCTGTTTCTGAAGGATTTTATTTTTTTCGTAGTAGCCTTTATTACAATCCTTCTTTTTCACCCCTGTTCCTTTCTCTGTTCTCCTTTGTCTCCTTCGGTCACCTTCAGTACTGTTCATTACTTTCTTTCAGTTGGCTTTTTCTAAGTTTCCTTTTGCCCACCTTGATTTCTGTTCATGGCTCTCTGTAGATACTCTTCTTACGATGTGTGTGTACACATACATAAGCCTGAAAACACTCACCTATTGCATTTCTGCTTTTTTCACCCCTCCTCATGCATTCTCTTCACTCACTTAATCTAACTCTGTTTCTTCATCTTATCATTTTGCTGGTCAGCACATCTAGTTTTAGTTAAAGTTAGTGTTGCATTATTTATGAAGAGTGTGATAGAAATGCTAAACATTACTATTATTTTTGTTGCGATACTGGACACTGTCTGCTTGGAAAAAAAGAATTCAATTATCTATGCCAATGCTGGGTGTTAGGCAGAAGAAAATAATCTTTCAATCAGTCCAAAGGAACTGTAGCAGATGATCTGTATCCACTGTGAGATTTGAGAGGAAACGTACCTTTTTATTAAGAGACTAACTCACTTCTATATGAAGTTCAGTATTAGAATATAAAAGCTGCTTTGAAAGTGTGCCTATGGTAGAAAGTGTCATAGGATGAGATACCAACGGTACACAGTGGTTAGGGAGAGCACTGAAACATATGTTTATATACCAGATAAGGAATATGATTTGTGCAGATTATCAAAATTGCATTTGTCTCTTTCAGTTTTAGTTTGTTTCTATACTGAAACTTTGAGGAGTAATTCAGCTTTTCCAGAATAACTTCTTCTGTTTTCTCAGACATACTGTTTTCACATGTTTAAAATTTGCCCACTAGTTTACTGAAAATGTATTATCTTTGATTTTTTTTTCCTATTGATCATTCTTCTCACTCAAGAGATTTACAGTTGTCAGTATTTAAGCTCTGTTAATAACCTAAGAAAAAGTTACTTTGAAATAGCTGTCAAGTTTCCAATAAAAAACCCCAGACAACCAAAGCAAAACCAACTGTGATACGTATAACTAATGCTAAATGCTTTGTCCTTTAACAACAAATTCGCCAGTGTAACTGAAACTCTAAAGCCAAATCTTATAATTCGTTAAAATTAAATGTGGTGTTATACTTCAAGTAGAAAATATTTTGAAGTCTTAGCAAAACATAGGTAGGGGGAAGAAACTGTAACATGGTAAAAGAGAGCTTTTATTTAACTAAGTAATTCAGGATTATATGCTTCTGCTAATTTATGTAAAGGAATGTTACATAAATTAAAATTAATTTAAGATTTTTAATTACCATGCATTTTTTGTTTCTTGAAATGAATGTTTTTACTTTAGTCCACCAATCAGAGAATCAGAGTAAGGATCAAATCTGAAAAACATCTTTTGTGCTTGTGCACTATGAAGTGCTTAATAGCTAGAAGAAATATGGCAATAAGTCCTCAAGTGTTCTTCAGAGAGTGTTCAGTGGAGCCATTTGCTGTACCTGGCCTTTCCAAATTCTGTTAATCTCAAAGAACTTCTAGGAACCCTGTAAATGTATTAGATGGCCTTCACTGATTACGAATAACATTTAATTCTTGTGGCAAACTGGGATTTGGATGGAAAATTTTACACCCATGTCATGCACAAGAGCTGAATTGCAGCAGATGTTGTTAAGCTATCTGAGAAATAAAGCCTGACATTTGAAAAAACTTTTGCCCTGAATACATATGAATAAAATTTCAGGCCATTAAAACAAAACATTCTCAGCATTTCGTTTTCCATCCCTTTAAAAATATCTGTAATTATGGATTGTTTGGAAACTATAATTGTACAGCTTCAAAAAAGTAGTATTTTTTAGGATAGTGCTGCTTCAGAGTTCACTTAAGAAACATTTAATAGAACAAGAAAACTATGTGAAAAAAAACCACCTTAGAAATTTGAGTTGAATTTTTGATTGAGCCATAATAGTTTAAAAAAAAAAATAGTCCAGTTCTGACTGCAGTACAAGCTCTATCCTATTTGCAGTAGTGTTGTGTCAGGATCTCAGTTTACTTTTTAGTAGCACCCATCTCTCTTAAGAAAAAAGTGCTGTTGCTGGCATATT